ATTTAAGGTTAAAAAGTCCTCCATCGTAAATTCACTATTTACGCTTCCCGATGCCGTGCCGGTTCCGTCGCGAAACTTCGACGGGCCATAACTTCTTCGTTATAACTCGGATTTCGGCGTTCTTTATATGTACGGAAACCTTGTGACATATTATAAAACTTGGTTTCTAAATAATCTTTTGTCGAAAAGTCATTTTCGTCCCTTATTGTCTGTAAATTGACTAGCCTGGATCTGCGGGCGTTACAAAAATGGTCGGGTGCAAGTGGATCTTCAAGAAGAAGACCAACACGGATGGGAAAGTGCACACTTATAAGGCGCGATTGGTTGCGAAGGGCTTTACTCAAACTCCTGGAGTTGAATATGATGAGACATTCTCACTAGTTGCAAAGATAAAGTCTATTAGGGTGATGCTAGCTGATGTGTGTAAAACTCACTTAGTTTTAATCCTACTTTAATTATCAAATAACACACAAAAGGCAGTGAACCTATCAATTGTGGTATAGCTAAATAAGCAGGGTATCGAACACAGGGAACGGCAAATTAAATTAAAAACTAATTCTATCTAAATTACTTTAGCAAATAAGGGTTTTTCTCTAGTTTTACAAGACTAGAAACTTATTAAACAAAACTAATGCAAGGCTAGAAAAGAACAAATTAACTAGATTCAATAATGGGAAAGAAACTTCTGTTTAGTTCAACTCGGTTAACTTTATGGTTGCTTTTAAGGTAATAGTGCAATGGATTAATTCTTTTGTTGGTTACCGATTCAAGTGATTAAGTTGTGTTCACTACCCTAATCCTTAGCAAATAAACTAATTCAAACAGTGGCCAATTGCTTAACTTAATTATATTTACTAGATTAATTATTCGGGTTAAGTTAGACTTGCAATAGCTAATTAAATTGTTATTTTTAATTAACCTCTTGTTCAATAGTCATCTTACAAGCTTGCACATGAATTTACTCAATTTACTTATTAATCCTAGTTTCATATTCATTAATCCTAGACATATGATTTAGTGGTCACTTATCATATGAGGTTGATAATTAATAGATGTTCATGCTAATTAACTATCTTCCTATTAACAGAAAATAAATTATCATTCATACACAAGGTTCTTTAGCAAGCTAAAATAACAATTAATCACCAACTTAGAATTAATCCTACCAATCAATCAAACCATATTGTCAACTTTGTATCCCCAAACAGAAGTATAAAGAAATTAGTTCATAACTAAGGTGAATAACAGCAAACAAATAAGTTCAAGTTGCTTAATCATATTGATAAAACAAAAGAATTAAGTAGAATGATGAAATTACGCCTTAATTACTCCCGGAATTGGATTCTAGCTTCTTTGGTCGACTTCTAGGGTTCTTCTGGCTTCTTATTCGTAGCTTAACACCTCTGAAACTTCCCAGAATTCTCCCCTTTTCGCATTAAAGAGTTATCTTTATATATGCATACCGACTCGTCGAGTCATATGGCGACTCGTCGAGTCCCTCTCACATTAGCCGTAACCTGATAACTGTCTTGACTTCCGAATGCTTATCTTTCTGAATCCGCGACCGGACTCGTCGAGTCAAGAGATAACTCGATGAGTAGAAGCCTTATTTTGGTTGTTTTCTTTCTTCTTTCCACTCTTGAACTCTTAACCGCTTCTCTTGCTTCCTTTCGCTTCCGAGCTTCATCTTTGGACTGAAAAACACAATTTAACACTTTTAAGTACCTTTTGTCCATAATATGCAACAATTTAGCTAATATATGAATAAATACTACACTTAATACACACTAAATATGCACATATCACTAGCCATATCTGCGCTTCATGATTATGAAATACGGCATATGAACGTCAAAACCATTTTCCTTAATGAGAAGTTGGTTGAGGATGTTTACATGAGTCAACCGGAGGGTTTTCTCGATGCGAAGCATCCTAATAGGGTGTGTAAGCTTGAACAATCCATTTATGGATTGAAACAAGCATCTCGTAGGTGGAATCTTTGTTTCGGTGAGAAAGTCAAAGAGTTTGGCTTCCTGCGAAGCGAGGATGAGTTATGTGTATATGTAAAAGCCAGTGGAAGTATAGTTATCTTCCTCGTATTGTATGTCGAGGACATACTACTATTAGGAAACGACATCCCGACCATGTAAGAAGTTATGTCTTCGCTTGGGAAGTGTTTCGCTATGAAGGACCTAAGAGAGGCTGCCTATATTCTGGGAATAAGGATAGTGAGAAACAAGAGTAAAAGACTTATAGGACTTAGTCATAATACTTACTTGGACAAGGTAATAAAACGTTTTAGTATGGAGAATTCCAAGAAAGGGGAGTTACCAATCCAAAGCATTGTCAAGTTGAGTAAGACTCAAAGCCCGAGCACAGAAGTCGAGATAGCAGAGATGAGTCGAGTACATTACGTTTCCGCATTTGGCTCGATCATGTATGATATGACTTGTACTCGCCCTAATGTGGCCTTCGCTTTAAGCATGGACACCAAATATGAAGGGAACCCTGGCGGAGCACATTGGACCAGAGTCAAGATCATTCTTAAGTACCTTCGTAGGACCAAGTAATGGTTTCTAATCCTCGGTGGGAGTGAGGACTTAAGGGTGTGAGGGTATAGTGATGCCAGTTTTCAGACTTACCGAGACAACTACCGTTCTCAGTCAGGCTAGGTCTTTACCATGAATGGAGGAGCAGTGACTTGGAAAAGTTCCAAGCAGGAGACCATAGCTTATTCAACGTGTGAATCATAGTACATAGTAGCAAGCAAAGCGCCAAAGGAGGCGATATGATTGAAGAACTTCATCGGAGACCTTGGAGTTGTGCCATCCATAAAGGAGCCTATGGAGATTTTCTGTGATAATGAAGGAGCGGTTGCCTTGGCCAAGGAACCGAGGGATCATGGCAGATCTTGACATATCAACAAGAAATATCACTTTATTAGACATCGGGTAGAAGAGGGACTCCTCGTAGTAAAGAGGGTATCGTCAAAGGATAACCAAGCAGATCCCCTTACGAAGGGACTGTGTAGGGTTAAGCACTTGCAGCACTCTAGGATCTTTGGGCTGAAGGACAATATTATTTTAGATTAGATAGTTTCGAAACGTGTAATAGATAAATTGTGATTAACATTTATTGATTAAATAAAGGAGTATTATTTATGAGTAAAGTTACTGTCTTGTGTTAATTATTTACCTATTGTTTCACTTTGCATGTTTTGACTTCCTGAATAATAAGATTATTCGAACAGTCAACAGTCGCTTATACTTTGGAAGTAGGTATGAATGTAGACTGTCATGAATTGGTTTGTAGATTGTCTAAAAGTGTATTAGACATAGAAAAAGTTTGTTGCAACATTCATGAGTGCTTATGAAATAATATTTGAGCATTGGATTAAACCCATGCTTGATGGCATCACTTTATGGAATTTATCACGAGTGATCGCAAGCTAATAAAATCTTATGGTTTTGCAACCTAGATATATGGTTTATTGTTTGCAAGTTGGTTGTGCATTGATAGTGTGTAAACGCATCAGTAACTTGATGTTATAAAATGAATTGTTGTGCATGATTTGATGAGTGAATGGTAAATGCATATAAGTCAAAGTTTATCTATTCCTTTTATCCTAAGAGGGTAAAAGCGATATATGGGCCCCTCGATGATTTGGTTTGACTTATGTGTCGGTCCTAGTCAGAACTGAGTTGATGTGTTCAATTAAGTTCTACGTTAGACAAATCTGAGATTGAGAAACGAACAGCTGGACAATAAGTTTTGACTATGCTCCATGTAAGTGTCCGTATGATATCTTGAGAACGGATGACTATACGATCCCTTATCTAAAAGACAGGTTACTGATAAGATCAGAGTTCGACAACAGCTTTTGAGAGCTATGATTGCTAATCGGATCCTCATGTCGTACTTGCATTTATAGTTATTAGACTTATCTAAGTGGGAGACTTTTGGATTAGTGTCTAAGTCCATAACTATATTTGGTATGTACTTGACCCGGTTGTTGCATAGTTCTTTTGGGTTGCCTTCACCAAAGCAACTGGACAGGATGATTTATGGAGAGAGAGAGAGAGGTTATTATGGTTTATTAATATATTATATGAATAACATATTAAAAGAGAAATCATATTGTTTAATTGATATTGGCCAAGAACTAATTAAGAATTAATTTTGTGGCTAAAAGAGATTAATTAAATAAAGGAGACTGGAATTGTCAATTATAAGATAATTGACTTTGGGCTATGAATCTTGTGGACTACGGGGGTGGATGAATTTGAGGTGGAAGCCCACCCTGAAATCATCCAAGGGCCCTATTCCAGAAGGTTATTGGAGCTGCTTAGGGCCTAAGCTATCCAATAAGGGTTTTGACTAAAACCCTAGCAGCTCAGCTATTTAAGGACCCCTAAGGCTTCAGATTTCGGATACCCCAAGAAACCCTAGAGTTCCTATATCCGAAACTATGCCCCCATTCTTTCTCTTCTCAATCATCTTCTTGTCTTGGTGTTTTTAATCCATTAGAGGTATTACACTTGTGATACTAAGCTCTTGAAGTTGAAGATTCTTGCTACTATCAAAAGGTATCATCTAAACTTGTATTAGATGTAGATTTTGATTTTTATAGTATGATAGATTAGTGTTTACAAGCTTTGGATAAATTTTCATGTATAATAAGGAAACCTAGATCCAAAGCTTTAGGGTTTTGCATGTGCACATAGGAATGTTCTTTTGCTCAAAACCCATCATTTCTTTTGTATTCTCTTCACAATACAATTGTGTCGTGGGACATGCATCACGTGTTTATAGATTTTTTTTAAGTTCTACTGTCAATTCGACTAGGTGATGAGAGAAATTTTCGAACAGTCGAATCTTTCAATGGCTCTGAGTGCATCGGTTGTAATTTCATTATCTTGAAGGGAATAATCAATGAATGTTTTACTGACATAATTGATTCTAATTCTAGATTTTTGGTCCTTTCAATTGCTTGTTCTTGATTATGCGAGGTAAACCCCGGCTAATGCAAAAATTAGATGGTCTTGTGTAGGTACTTCATGAGGTGGGTCATCTCTTGTTGGTTTTGAGTCGTTGCTTATTCCCATATTTGCAAAAGTGGTGCTTGGAACTAGTAATTGAGAATCTTCATCAAAAATTGGGTAACTTGAATGCATCTTGATAAATAATCCTCTTTCTTGTTTTTCAAATCGTGTTTTGTAGCTTCTGATTATTGTTTGAACAGCTGATGGGAATTTGCTAATGAAATGTAAATTTGTTCCATCAAGATAGATAGTGTCTATGAATCCATTGTTGAAATAGTCCCATAAGGTCATGGGGTCAGTGAGGCCTGCTAAGAATATTACTTTAGGGCCTGGTCGCCTGGCTACTAGGTAAAAGTCAATCAAACAATCGCCTTCGGTGTATGAAATGAGGTTGTCCCATAATCTAGCAAATTTTTTAGCAGATGGCTTTTTCATAGCTTCTTTTTCTTTACTTGATGTAATGGATTCAAGGGCAATCTTTACATTTATTTGGTTAAGATATTTAGGGATGGATACAGGTTTTTGTGGAGTAAAGTCGGATATGGGTTTTTGTGGTGTAAGGAGAACTGTTTTTGAACATTGGACATTATCTTTTATGACTGCTTTGTACGCTTCGTTGTATGCGGCTTCTGCTTCATTTTTTGTTTTGTAACTTTTGTGAATGACATTTTTTCCAATAATATATGAATTGGCAATTCCCAAATCGTCATAGATTCCTTTGTTTTCTTCGTTGAAAATCACATAGCATTTCTTATGTTTTTATGTTCGGATTGAAGTGGTGGATATTCTTCTGTACTGGGTGTAATAGGTTGTTTTTATGTGTGCGGTGGATTATCATCGGATGATATTTCTTGAATTTCTTCTTTTGGTTGCTTCGTTGTTGAGCTGCTAGTTGCTTCTTCTTTAAGTGCTGAATAAGATGATAAAATTTGTAATGTTTGTTGTAGTTGTTCTTCTTCACATTTGACTACTTCAAGTTGTCTAACTAATGATGCTTTTTGCTCCTGTTTCTGTTTGAGCTGGTGTTGTATTTGCTTCATGATTGCTTCCATGTCAATATATCTGTTGTCTGAATATTTACGCCTATTGGGTACCTTAATGTGTGCTCATATTTGTTTGTTTTTAATATTTTAAATGATGATATGAGAATTTTCATATCAATTTATGCTTTGGTGATATATTCATATCACCGCATACTTTATTATGGTATGCTTTTGGTGATATTTTCATAGCAATGTATGTTTTTTCAATGTATACTTCGGATGGTATTTTCATATCACTGTATGCTTTTTCATTGTATACTTTTGATGGGTCAGATATAAGGTTTCCCTCATTATCTAATCCTAATAATATTTTTCCATGTATTATTGCTTTTAGGCAACCTAACCAAATGTCTTATGATGCATCTGTTTCTACAATTAAAAAATTGGCGATTTTTGCATTATATAATGTAGGGAGAACTTGAATTTTTTGTTTTATATTTTGTAGCAAAATAGTATCTATATTGGTCCAAGACCAAAGTATTTTTTCTGATATTTTCTTTTGTAAAACTTTTCTTTCTTTTGCTAAATTTTTCAAAAATCCTTGCTCTACAATATAATTTAAATATCCAAGAAATTGTTGTATTTGTTTTCTATTTTCAAGTTTATCAAGAAACATATTTAATTTTTCTTGTATGTTGTCTGTTAAAGATACTTGACTATTTTCTCTAATTTTTAAACCAAGATATTCAACTGTGGATTAAAAAAAATTGATTTCTTTTTTGATAAAACTAAATCTTTTTCTTTTATTCTATGTAAAACTTTGATAATTGCATCGATATGTGTTTGTTCATTTCTTTTTGTAAAAACAATTATATCGTCAATGTATGCAAGACATATATGATCTAAACCATTTAAGGTTTCATCCATAAATCGTTGGTATATTGTTGGTGTCTGCTCTAAACCGAATGGAAAGACATTTCATTCATAATACTTCTGAGGAGGACATGTAAGCGTAATTACCAATATCCGGATTTTGCATCAAATGTACTAAAATGTGTATTTCCTTTTAATTTTTCCAAAATATATTCTTTTCGTGGTAATTTATATGAGTCTCCTATAGTAGCAACGTTCATCTTTTTATAATTAATTACCATTCTTCGTTTCCCACATTTTATCTCATTATTTTCTACATAGAATGTAGGTATAGAACGAGGACTCGTGTTAGGTCGAATGAGTCCTTTTTCAAGTAAAGTTTTCAAATTAACAAGTTGTTTTTGTTAGGATGGTTGAAACATTGTGTATTGTTTTTAAATTACGATTTTTGATTTTTTGTATTTCTTAATTGTTTCTTGTAATCGAGATATCTTTTTTTAATTGATTACTATACTCTTCATTTTTTATTGCAATCTTAATAAATAATTTTCTTCATATGATAAAGTATATGCAGTATAATTCTTGTTTCTAGAAATTAATTCGTGTACTTCAGATTCTTTTTCTTTTAAATGTTTTGTGGAATTCTCTAAATTTTTCCATAATTGTTTAAGTAAATTAAATTTATATATATTATCGAAATTACAATATACTTGAGTTTTATTGTTCATAACTTTATTTATTTTTACCATGTGAAATGTCGTTTAATAGTAAGTGATTTTCTTTAATAGTTTTTATTTTTAAATATTTTTCAAGTAATATTTTCTATTAAGTTAGATTTTGTAATCATTTAGGAATTTGTTTTAATACAAGTAAACTTTCAATTTCTATAATATTATTTAATTTTTGAATAATTATATTTAATTTATCTCCTATTGGTTTATCTTCTTCAGAACTAAAACCAATATTATATGTTGTTCAATGTGGTAAATTTTGCGTTATTTCTATAATCATTTCTTTATCTGGTATGTATGGTTTTGTATTTTGATACGGACCTTCAAATGTTTTAAAATATTTTAAGGAATTACTAGATGATTCTCTCATATTCTTAAACTAAATGATCTAATCATTTCTTTAATATCTTCTAATTTTTCATTTTGATTTTCAGTAGATGTAGGTTGACATTTCGAGATGGAGGATCTACATATTATGGTTGAAATTGGAGGTTCTATAATTGGATTTCTTTTTATTAACGGAGTAGTTATTATTGGTTGAAAATTAGCTTCGTTAAATATTCTATTATTAGTCATAATTGATCAATCAAGGGATAATAAAGGAGTAAATAATTTATCTATATAAATTCTATCTTGAGTTTAAGCGTACTACTATAATGTGAGTTTGTTAATGCATAATTTATTTGATATGTAATAGTAAATGAATGATTAATTTTTAACATAAATAAGTCTTAATAATTATATCGTACGGTAATACTCTTACTTAAATTTTTATCTTTAAAACTTAATCCTAGTTGAATATTAATATTAAATTTTATTTTTCCTTCAATTAAATTATATTTTCCTTTTGCAATAATACTTTCTTGATTATTAATTATACGATCATCTCTGATTTCTAATTCTAATGGTGTATGTAAGTCACTAAAAGTACTTTTTAAAATTACTTGAATAGTTGATATATGAATATAAGCAATTTTTACTCTATCTACTTCTTTAATATTAGATAATGTGTTTTTAATTTGTTGTTTATTTATTATAGGTATAATGATATTTCCTTTAGTTGATTCTATGGGTATTGGTTTTTCTCCTATAATTTTTTCATAGTATATAATATTTTTTATAGAAAAAAAAATTCTTAATGAGTTATTTCTAAAATTACGTTTTTCTGATAGTGTAAATTTTGATTTTCTTATAGCATCTTTATTAATATTATTTTTATTAATTAGAGCATCAAAAGTGTATCTAGATTCATTTTCTTCGTTATTAATAATTATTGGTGATTTTTTTATTTCTCGAGACATATTTAACAAATTAATCTTGTTATGTTATCTTCATGATTTTTTATTTGTTCTTGTTTCCCATTTATACTATTATCTATTATATGTATTGCTTCAATATTAGATATGCAATTAATTATCAATATGTTAGAGTCTATTTTTAAATCCAAGAGAAATTTTTTAGATTGTTTGTGTTTTACGAAAAAAAAAAAATAATCGTGTTTACTAATATTTAATCTTAAAAAACTCATGATTATAATTCTATAATAACAATAATTTAGTTGTGTTTTGAATTAAAGTTACGATAAAGATTTATAGTTTTAAAAATGATAGTGATAGTAGAGTTTATTATGACTATTAAATTTTATGATAATTATGACAAGTAATATGCATGATAATTCGTAACGATGAATATTCATATTCATAATAATATTTATGATGATGCATGATTAACATACATTCATGAAACGATGAATGATATCTTAGTGATGAATATTCATACCAATTGTGATGGATTATACCTGAATGATGCATCAGGATGATCTTGATGATGGATTGTTTAGATTAATTATTCGTATAGGTTGAATAGGGCTTTGCTATTCAGAGATAGACAAACTATTTCAATAAAGGGCTATGCTATTCAAAAATAGACAAACTATTTCAACAAAGGAAGAAAACTTTGAAATCAACTCAAGTCTTAGACACTCAAAAAACTCGTGTTTATTCCATACGGGCAAAGACCCTGTTTGTAGGCTCAAGAGAGTCGGTTAGATAATTGAATTGCAATTGTATGATTGCAAAACGACAAACATATTTACAATATAGTCTATTGAGGGTTACACACTTTATATTACATCTTACAAACTGTATGTCATATTCTAGATACCTAACATGTAACCTAGCGATGCATGACATGTGTTCTACCGATAACGATAAATACCAACAAATAAAATAATATACAAATTATAAAATACATCCCCCCTCCACCTCTTTTTTTTTGTTTTAGCCTTTTTTAATAGAATGTTGTTGCAAACTAAGTCAACACGCCACATCAGCTAAACACATCACATATGCATGCCAAATCGTCGGTTACTGCAACATAGGCAGATGGTAACCCTTTAATGTTAAAACTTTAAAAGATTTTTACAAAGTTAATGACAAATTAGTAACAAAAAAAAATCTTGCATAAGGTAGCATTTTAGATGCAAACTTATGGAGTATGAACTTTTATAACGCTAACCCTAATAATAAATCATAAACTTCCTACTACTAATAACAAATTTATTTATTCATACACAATATTTTTTAAATTAGATATTATTTTAGTATTATGCATGGATGTAGGCATACGTTGCTAATACCTTACACACAGGTTACCATAATAAGGTAGCATTTTAGTTTTATCCATGAATTTTGAAATCTGTTGGCAAACAATGGGTATTGGCCATAGTTTTGCCTACATAATGAGCTATGCAATTAATCCATAAAAATGGTTATATAAATTAGGGTTCTTATACTTCTAGGAAACTAGTGGCATATTTGTGGGTTATTACCGATGGAGTAAGTATGTCGGTAATTTTCGTTAGCGATAGTAGTGAAAACTGTTAAAAGATGCTCCACAAATGAATACAATGTTGAGTTGTGTATTATGGTCTTCCATTTGACATTTGTGGTTGCATGAAGGCTGTGTTCACATATAAGGTCTATGGTATTCGAGCACAAGGTCAGCGGTGCTCAAGCAGCTATGGTGCAATGTTTGCGGACCGTGGTGCACGGACTAAAAATATGTTCCATTGATGACGTTTTTAAAGGCTAGACCCACTAAGTATATCTTTATATCAACATGTTGATATAAATAGATAATTCCAAACGTAGGTGTGATGCCGATTAAATGAATGGTACTACACCAAAACAATCATGTTCTTTTGCTGGCCCAACATTGACTAGGTTAACCAAGAGGAACTATTTGTAAAATTACCATCAAGGATTCTCAAACATATAGGCCGCTCCTCACCAGCGTACCTCATGCCATGCTAGTGTCCTAATGCCATATAGAAAAGGGAGGCAAGTGTTCTTGCTACAGCCTATAGGTGCAGCCCAACTTCTGAGTGAGTTGATTTCTGAGTGAGACTAATCAAGACCCTGGCCTCAAAGATGGCCAACTTCCAAAGTTCAATCCAGATGAGTTGACTTATATCGAGTAGCCATGTAATTGATCTTCAATGGAAGTTTCAGATGTTTAGCTGTTGTCTCATACATACAGATGCGTATACAAACATCTGGATATACTGTTTGCTTCCTGCCAGCCTGCTCAAAGGACAGAACATAGAAAACGAGGAGCCAAGCCGAGCCTCTCCCTCATCTTATTATGACTAATTGAGCATCTATCTCATCATGGGCAACTCCAGCCTTTCCCTTCTTATTTGATCTTGGTCCTTGTATTCTTTTAAATTTGTTTTTAAAATAAGATTGTGTGCATGAAAAACAAATGTTTTTTTCTAAGGTGATTAAAAAGTAATAAATTTTATAAATTGCAGGTTCGTACAAGCAAAATACACATAGAGTTGGGATCATGAAGGAGGGATTAAGCGGGATATGGCCAAATCCGACTCTTGAGGAGGCAAAAGAGGAGTTTACTGGATAAGAGGATTCACACTTTATTGCTAAAAGCAGTTGAATTAGGATGCAAAACATTCATTTCGGAAAGTGGTTTTGTCTTTGCATACAAAACATTCATTTTGGAGAGCAAGACGAAAAGCCAGGCATTAGTCGAGAAAAACTGATTGATTACTCTTGAGTTGCACAACTCCTAAAGAAAACATGCATGCATGCAGAGGATGGTGACAATGATAAATGCACAAAACATGTAGATGTTCCGGCAGTTAAAGACCAGAGTACTCTTGATTAAGTTGCTGGAAATTTGACTCTTTAAAGAAAAATCCCATTCCATGACATATTTTAAAAGTAAATTGTTGTAGTTTGATAATAATACAACCTCAACCTGCCTGTTCTAAAAACCCAGAAAGATCATTATCCCAAAACTAAGGTAAGGTAAGGTCATAACATTTCATTCCTAAACCATAAATTATGTTTTATGCTTTGAAGAAGCAACAAAAAATATGACAAGACAGTTACACGCTAGTCTCAGCAGTCAATACAACTATGAACTAACTACATTATCAGTAGAACCTCCTGCCACCCAAGTGTAAGTAAAGATACAAGAATCAGAATCCTTCACCTGAAACCAAATTTTAAGTATAACTTTAACATTAAAAATGTTTACCAGATAATTAATACATCATTGTCATCACCAAAAAGATGGAGAAAGTACCCACTCCTCCTATAATACCATTTCACCAGAGAACCCCTAAGACCTGACTGCTCTGCTCTGCAAATTTCCAAAACATAACAGTTTCAGTAATCAAATCATTAGAAAAATACATCAACACAAAAACATCAAACTTACAAATCAAATCATTCATTCTCTTCCGCTGTTCCTGCTTTAACATCAACAGAGAAAGTATACTCCTGATCGCACCCCATGTAAGAGTCGCACATGAAATACAGAGTAAAGCTCTTCTTCCCTAAAGCATCACTCGGGGCAGTGATGTTATCAAGCTTCACCTTGGCCTTCCTCTGCAACGAAACCCTCTTGATTGCAAGCAACTGGTTGCTCTTTGTGTCACCAACCACCAACCACCACCCCTCCTCTTTCCCTTTCGGATACCTCGGGGCATCCACCGGTCCCACCTCGGTCCTACCCTCCAAATCCCTTTCAAGAGTCACCACCATAGTGAACTCCTCTCCAGCCCTAATGTTGTCACCATCCACCACATCATACGACAAATCAATATTAGGAAAACGGTTGCAGAACTTTGCGATATCCATGAGCTGAGGATCCGACATCTGTAAGAGCTCCCTTCTCTCATCGTCCTCCATTTCCACCAAGTCAAACACAGTCTCGATGCTCCTTCCAGGGTTTTCTTGGCATCTCTTGGCTAGATCTTTTGTAAAATGAGGCAGCTGTAACAGAACAGAGTCTCTCTCCCACATGCCTTGTGTCACCATCTGGCTCACTTCCATGGCCAGAAGAGCCAAGCTAAGCCATCCGTTGCTTGAAATAACATCAACCATGGCCTGAAGCAACCTGCTTGCAGATAGCACCACTTCTTGCTGGTCAGAACCCAGATTCCCACCAACCGTTTGTCTAGCAAAGTGAGCTTGAAGCAGTGCATTCGCCTTCACGTGTGGGTCCGCGTATTTCGGGTTCTCAAAAGAAAACCTCTGATGATGGATCAACCTGCGTATCAATTCCTCTTCTCCAGGGCGTACCGGAAGTTGTTCATACTCTGAAGCAGAAGCCAGAATCTCCAAAAGCCCCTTCAACTTTGTCTTGGTGGTCAAAGAAGAACTGAACCGTTCTATTGTAGTGTAGCTGATGTAATAATAAGAAGCAATCATACCAAGATTCAAAGGGGAAAGATCATAATCATCTTCAATCGTAACACATTTACTCGCTTCCAAATCGCTTAAAGTGTTCTCCACAAGTTCAGACAGGTGATCCGAGAGATGCCTTTGACTCACACCTTGAAGATTGTAGTAATTCGGGTTCTGTGTTAGCCTCCTGTACATGAATGTCCAGGTCAGATAATCAACAGCATCTTGCTTGTTGGCAATCACTTCAACAACCACCTCAGCATTCAGATTATCATGTAGGTGGTGATGCAGATGGCTTTCAACTGGGAATGCTTCGAATAAGAACTTCTTGTAGTATTCCTTACGTGGTGCATGACAAAAAATGACACATTTACCAGAATTGTCCACAAGAGGCCGACTTGCATGGCCCATCATCTGAAGAAGATCAGTAACTGGATAATCAGTGTGTGCGTTTTCCCGGCCATCATAGTACTGTGTTCCCATAACCACCACCAAATGAGCACGAAGAGAAACCCCCCAACACATGGTACCACTCATCACACATACCTGAATACAACCAGTTTCAAACAGTGTCCTGACTATATCTTGGTCAGTTGTTGTTAGACCCTCATGCAGATATCCAACACCATATACCAGAGTTTCCTTCAACATGGGTTCTTTAATCCTCTCAATAAATGGGCTTATCTCATTTTCAGATTGAAGTAAGAACAAAGGCTTCTCTCCATTCTCATATGTACTTTCAGCACTCGAGTATGTCATCAGATCCACAGCTGTTAACCGCGCGTGTTTCCTTGTGGGAACAAAGACGATGGCTGGTTTTCCATTCTTGGCATGTTGGACAATAGCAGTGTAAGTAGGCTTGCTCATGGCCTGCATTCTGGCTTCAAAATTAGCTATGTCTATACCTTGAATATGGATTTCCAAAGGTACAGGTCTAACACCTGGTGGGAAATTGAAAAGACCATGTGATGTGGCCCCAATCCATTCCCCTAAATCTTTGGCATTAGCAAGTGAAGTGGATAGTGCCACTATTCGAATGTTATGACCTTGACTAGCAATGTATCTCATCCTAGAGACAATCACCTCCAACACTGGCCCACCTTGACCCCCAATCAAATGCAACTCATCAACAATAAAAAGACTTACTTGCTGAATATGCTTTCGCTGCTTCCATCTACGAGACAAAGCATCCCATCTATCAGGAGTGCTGATTATCACCTGCCCTTTTTCAAGAAGCTTCAAATCTGTGGCTGTTTCCCCAGTCAACTCACACACCCTCAGCCCAAGACCATCTCCGAATTTCTTTTTCCATTCGTTATAACGCTCCTTGGCAAGTGCTTCGACAGGAGCAATGTAAACAGCACGCATGACACCCTCTGAAACTTTCTGATGGTTCCTTAAAACTGCAAACTCTGCACATATGGTCTTCCCGCTGCCAGTTGGAGCAGCAACCAACACATTGTCATCAGTGTTGTAAAGTACTGTGAAGACTTGGGTTTGGACAGGGTTAAAGTGTTTAAATTCGTGATAAAGTGCTTCGTATAACGGATTTCTCAATGCAGTCACAGGAAGTGGCTGCAAGTCCAGCAGCTCCGTTGGTGGAGGGTACTTCTCCGGTAAGATTAGGTGGCGGAAAGAAACGGGCAAAACAGACAGGGATCCAAGCCATCTGTCCGAGACAACCTTAATAAAGTACTGAGGTGGCAAAGGTTCATAAATCGGGACTGTGAAACTCAAAGTGTGGTCCTCGTCAATGTATTGTTTCTTCAACAAGAAATACTCATTATGGAGTATGTATTCTCCATCATTATCTTCTACAATCACCCAAAACGGCTCCACATACCCATGAATCCTGTCTTCCCACTGAAAATCTGGAGTGATAGTGAGTTCCACCCTCAAGATGGTGCGGGTGATTGGTTGAACATGTGCTGCAAGATTAAGTTTTGGGAATTGGTGAATGCACTTGTGAAGATTTCTCCCCAATTTAGGGGCTCGAACAAGCTCTCCCAGCTCCTGTGATGACAGATCATAATACCTTTCCCATGCCAAATCCTTCTTCTCCAGTTTCATCAATATGTCATTTTTAATCCCGTGAAATTGACGTAAAGGGGTTTGTACGCTCCAGATCCTCTTGTTAATCATTTTGCACAAGTTCAAGGCTTTCTCGGCTAACTGGGCCCACCCTCTTTTCAATACAATCTCAAAAAGAGCACGCATAAGACGTCCCGCACTCTGCAGAATCAAAGTGTAACTAAAGTTAGAAAAAAGAATATCATGGGAGTAGAAAGAAAGAAACATTGATAAATATGTAAGAGATAAAACTAACCTGAGTTATGAACACCATGTCAGATGTCAAAGAAAGTCCTTCAAGCTTTAACTGAGAAATATATGCCTGGAGTAGGACATTGATCTTTGCACTGGGTTCTTCCAAACTTTCCTTGATGGGAATAGGAACACGGTCCAAAAGCTTTGCAAGTTCCATCTTCTCATCTTGTCTTACTGTTACATATTTGAACTCCTCACTCAGTGAAAATAATCTGCAAAGCTCAATATCACTCATGGTGGGCTTCAAATGCTCATTGTAAGTAGCAATCGTTCCATGAGTTATGTAGTAGTAACTTGCGATTCGACCCAAATCAGTAACCTGAAAATACCCACTTTTTCTATCATACTTCACCAGATTGTTTTTATCCAGTATTGTAGCTGCAGAATGGACCTGCAAGAAACAGTAAATAGCAGTATTTTTAGACAGTATTGTTGCAGAAGAAATATTAATGTGGGGTAAAAAAACATACCAGATCGGCTCTCCTATCCACAAGTAAAAGATCTCTTGTCAGAGCATCGGCTGATAAACCATAAAGTGTAGGGTTGCGCACCATACGAATGTATAAATAAGTGTAACCAAGCCAATTGAGGGCTTCTTTTGCATTCTGCACGGTTCCAAGGACTATTTCTGCATTCAACTGATCAGCCAATTTGGACACAAATTGACTTTCAATAGGAAGCTGTTGATTCATCAAGGAAAGATAGTACTGCAGCTCACTGTGTCCAGTTATAATGATTCCTTCACCATAAGTATCAAACTGTGGCCTCCCTGCACGACCTAACATCTGCATGACATCTAGAGGACTAAGCTCTGTCCAGGCTCCTTTTTCTGGATTATAAATCTGGGTTCCTTTGATAATCACAGTGTGGGCTGGCAAGTTCACACCCCATGCAAGAGTAGCGGTTGAAACAAGTACTTGAATGTGTCCATCAGCAAACAGTTCCTCAACAAGTTGACGATCAGCCCTAGCCATTCCTGCATTGTGAATTGCAAGACCATAAGGCAACAGATCCTTAAGATCATTGCTTTTCACCAGCTCAGTATGTTCATGGAGAATTTCACGACTTGCACTATCTTCTTTCAAAAAGATCCCCAGGGTGTCATTCGCAAGAGCTGTGTCTCTAATTGCCCGTGCAGTCTTTGTTGTCTCTTTCCGTGAATGCACAAATATAAGCACCTGATGCTTTCCAGCCACTCCAATCACCTTTTCATAACAAATATCATTCATCAACTGAAATCTCTGCAATGGCTTCTTTACTGTGATTCCAATATATTGTTGAGCAAGTGGACAAGGTCTGTAACTATTGTCAAAATGAAACAGGCCTTTCTCCAAGTCAACTCGCATAAATAACGCAACATCATCATAATTGGGAAGTGTTGCAGATAGCCCAACCAACCGAATATGTTCCTTTGTGGTCTCAATTTGTCTAACAGTTCTTGCCACAATACTCTCCAGAACAGGTCCTCTGTTATCATGCAGAAGATGAATTTCATCAATAATTAGAAGCTTAACAAGTTGAGTGTAAGTCCGATCTCCGGATTTTCTAGTGATAATATCCCATTTTTCTGGAGTGGTGACAATGATTTGTGTTTCTTCAATTTGTTGACGGGTCAAAGACTGATCTCCACTCAACTCCATCACAGTGACACCATAGTGCTTCAAACGATTGGACAGGTTACCAACAACTTCAGCAACAAGGGCTTTCATTGGTGCCACATAGACAATCTTGTAGTCATTGTGGTTGAACGTACCATCCTCATTCATATGCAAACCTATCTGTTGCAGAATTGTGAGCATAGCAACATTGGTCTTCCCTGCTCCAGTGGGGGCACAGAGTAAAAGATTGTCTGCTTTGAACAGAGCTGTCTCATAAACTTTACTCTGAACCCTATTTAACTGATTCATCCCCTCAAAAGCTGGTTGTGCCCAGCTTGGCATGGTAGAGATCTTTACAAGCTTCTCATCAGGAGCAAGTGGTTTGGGTTTCAATGCTGGCACATGAACCTCTTCGTACCCCTTGCTGTGATTTCTGTAAGAGCCTAAAGGAAGCTCACACTTCTTATTTGCCATCAAAAGTCCACCTTGCTGAAACGCAATGCTCTCAAGATCAAGCAACTGTCTTTGACCATTTAACCAACCGTTCTCAGCATCCCTGTCAACAACATCCCTTCGACCACGATCACCATTTCCACCACCACTCTCATCCTTCAACCGCCTTGCTTCTTCTCTTATGCTTTTCTCCAAGTTCTTCTGCCTCTCTTTTGCTGTTGCCCTTGTGGCATGCAGTTGTTCCAATATTGCAGCCAAATCAGGCCCCAGTCCCATCATTTGTTCTTCAATTTGCTTCCTTTGTTCTTGATCTTCAGCCCTTGCAAGACGGGTACACCACACAATCTTCAGTCTGTTCCTCAAAAGGTACTTTATCAGACTGAACTTATCAAACTGAAGATGCACCAATAGCTTCGTTTCGACTTCACGGTCATCACCTTCTTCAAGAATCTTCAGTACCTCTTCAGCAAGCTTCTGGCTTTGCTGTGGATCAATCTGCTGCTCATAAGCCTGGGAGATCTTCCTCTGAAGCCAATAAGCATCAATGTCCTGTACATTAAGCGTCATACCCTCATTAGCTTCTTGTGAGTCGTCATCATCCATACCCCCACCCATTTGCATAGCATTGTTCCCATCTCTGTCCAAAACATCATCTTCTTCCTCGTCATCATCTTCCTGTACAATATCAAGATCGCTCTCTTCATCATCCTCTTCATTCTCTTCAAATTCAACAGCTACACCAACATCATCATCAAGAGCATCTTCACCATTTGCAGCATTAGAACCAGCAGCATCACCGCCTGCATCTTGAAAATCTGTTATAAGCCTCCCAATAGAGACTAACTGGTCAAACACCTGGCTCGGTATAGGGTTTAGCAATTTCTCAATATCCTTCTTCTTGTCCGGGTTCTTCAAAGTATCATTCTTCAGCACAGCCAATATCTCATCTGCAGCACCACTGACAATATTCAAAGGCTGACCACCCAATTGTGTCTGTATGACACTAAGCATTGCCTCATATGCAGCTCGAGTTTCTTTCGTCTTTGGCTGATAAACACCTTCCTCTGTTGATGTAAGGACACTCTCTTCTTGAAGACGCCGCCTCTTGCTCTGTCTGTTATTCCCAGCTTCAGCAGAAGCAAGTGATGATGGTTCACGTTCCTTCTTCTTCTTGGACTTGGTGATTTTCTCATCCAACTCTGCAGGTCTCCCTCTGTAAGCACGGTCACCAAAACTCTTGGGGTCTATCTTCCCATACAAAGACTCAGGCTCCCCAGTTGGCTCATGCGTATCTCTTGGCCGAGAATCAGTTGTCAACACAAGGCTCGAGTTGGCTCTGTATTCATACTGTTTAAACCGGGCATGCGCCTCAGCACCACCACCTAAATGTGCCATCTCTAATCAACCAAGTCTAGTTCGACAAACCCTACAATCACCAAAATCAAATCGAATCAGTCAATCAAGCATAATAAACCTACTGTCATGATAAATATACAACTCCTCAGGGAGATAAACTCTACATCCACCGATAAACCGGTATACAAAAATAAATTACCACAAAAAAAAGCAAAATCTGAAAAAGTCCTTAGGCAAATGAACAAGTATCCAATTCAATAAACCTTATAAATCGACAAATAGTTGTACAAACCAGGTCTCGATTCCATTCAACGAAACCACGCTAGAAAAAACCTATAAACACGACAGTAAATAAAACTAGGGTTTTAGTTTTGAACCAGAAGGAACCAAGTATGAGATGGACTAGAAGAACCAAAGGGGATGAAAACATACCAGTATCCGGATATAAAATCCTTGAGCGGCGAGATTGGAATGGAAACTACAAGTTTTGAAGAGATGTTTGGAGATTTATATCACACGGCGTGAGTTTGTGAGGAGGATCGACTGCGAGGCGGTTTGGGAGTGAGCGTTCAAATGCACCGGCAAGTCTGGACTGATCGTATTTGCTTCTCATGCGGATGCGGGTGGGCTAAGCCTAAAAGGCCCAAAAAGATCTCGCTTAATTTTCCATAAACCCACAAACCCACATAGGTCTTTTTATGAAAATGTTTTAGAAGAAGTTTTATCCGGAAAATTTTTGTGATCGGAAAATAAATCATGTTGTTTGATTGCACATCTGACTGACTGTGCTAAATGATAAAAGATGACCATAACACCATGTTATTCTATTTTGTGATGGATGAAGTTGTTGAATAATTATAAAAACATATAGAATCAAAATTACACAATAATCATTTAAAAATTCAAATACAATTTGTCTTATAAAGTAACTAAATATAAATCAATTAAAATCCAAATAGAAACATACTGAAATTGAAAATAACATATTAATTTGCATACAGCTCTAAAGTAAATCGGGCGAAAGTTGTTTATTAGCAATTTGTTCACGCAAAGTAGTCATATATTCAACGACTTCTTAACCTCATTCTATATTTTGTGTGTTTTCGTCCTTAATTCCTCCACCATGCACATCATGATTAACCATAACGTTCTCTTCAAAATTTGCAAATAACTCATCTTGGATATTATATTTCGTTATAAAATTATAGATCGTGACACAAGCAATGACTATGTCTCTTTGTATCTGAAAATGATAATGAGTCGTTTGTTTTAAGATTAGGAATCTAGCCTTCAATACACAATAAGCACGCTCAATAACATTTCTAAGTTGTGCATGAGCATGATCGAACCTTTCTTCTTTAGTTAAAGGTCGACGTCCTCGAAATTCTACTAATCAATACCTAGTGTCACGGCAAGGAGCCATGAACCCGCAAGTGTTGGTATATGCGGTGTCACAACTTTGATTAGATAATAAAACTTATATGTAGGTAAGTGACATTTATTATATAAAGAATATAGATAATAAAACATAGGGAGAATTTCATATATGCCCTTGCTAAACATGTAAATATCGTATTTGCCCGACCTAAACTCTAAATATCGTATTTGTCATTATTAATATTTTTTAATATCATATATACCCAAATCTATTTTTTAATTATTTTTAACATTTAATAGTTCTTTTTTTATATTCTCAAATCACTATAATTAAAAGAAAAAAATGAATGGACCATAATGCCCCTAAATCTTAAATCCCTTTTGACTAAGCGGATGCATTGGTCTTATTTCTCCCGCCCCTAAATCCCCAATACCATGTGTGTCGCTGTCGATCGGCCGGGAACCTCTATTCGCCTCCTAGAGAAACCGAATAGGTGATGGTTTCAACGAAATTCTACCTTCGATGGCCACTAAGGAGCGACATCTCCGGCAAGCTCGAAGCCCTTGTTGGGGTTTTCCGTCAGCCTTATCGGCACCCATCTACTAGGAACAATTTCTAAAAAGGAAAAGATATAAATTTCAAATTTCTATGGAATTGAATACACAAATTATTAAACTTTCTGCAAAATTGAATCAAAAGTTGATGATTCTAAGAACACAACTCTCAATGGAGTTTTAATTAAAACTAGTCAAAGATCGATTTTAATGTCTTTGGTGTATGCTTGCAGGCTAAATGAAATAAGAAGCTAAAGGAAAGTAGATGAGGTGACGAGGGACTTGAAAATAATTGTGTATTCATTGAATGGTTAGGAACATTAAGACCAATTCTACAACTGCATTTTAAGATTTATACTGTTGTTTTCATGTTAAATACTTTTCTGATAATAAGGAGCGGCTAATTCATTTTTCTACATGTGAAATCTATAGGAAAACAATTGGTAGCTATCTTCCTAACACCAGCCCCCCTGAGACAGGTGAGGTTTCAAATCCTTAGTCTCTTGTGTTCTTGAATGTGCTTTCCCCTTTCAGTCTTACCTAATTCTTTTAAAAGTTCTTCTGTATGATATTTGTACTTTTATATATTTATGCGTTGGAGTTGATATCAAGAGAAATCCATGAGATGCATTAAATTTACAGGTCTTTTTTGTGAGGAAGATGATGGTGGTCTAATTCAATTGGAGTTGATATCAATAGAAATCCCTTCATAAATAATGTTATATAAACTGTGATCTCTCTTTTCATCTTCCTGATGTGCCAGTTAGCTTCCTCTCTATGTCATCCATTCAATAACACGTGCAAATCCTTTTTATTGGATGTGTGTTATTCTGTCTTTCAACCGTGGGATTGTCATAGAGTTGGGTATCACTCCCATTGTGACTTTTGGACTTGTTATATAGCTGTTGGCTGGCTCAAATATTATTGAAGTGGACAACAATGTTCGTGAGGATCATACACTACACCAACAGATTGATTTTTGGGAAGTAGGATTATGGTTGAAAATAGGATTAGGGTTGGATCGTATACCTAATGTGTGTGTGCGACAACAATCAACAGATGCGATTAAGAGGTTGCTATTGGAATGAAGTAGTAACAGGCTGCAAAAAACGTGAATATGGAAGCAGCGATCGTTCGTAATCTGATGTGAACGTGTGTTGTATTGGAATTTAGAACCAAGGGCATTATGGTCCATCCACTTTTTCTTTTAATTATAATGATTTAAAAATATAAAAAAGAATTATTAAATGATAAAAATAATCAAAAATATATATATTTGGGTATGTATAATATTAAAAAACATTAAGAAGGACAAATATGATATTTAGAGTTTAGGTCAGGTAAATACGATATTTACATGTTTAGGAAGGGCATATACGAAATTCTACCTAAAATTTATATAAAGAATATAGATAAACTTATATAAAGATTAGAAACCTGGTGAAGGAAATGGAAATCCAGTAGTCAGATTGAATGCAACTTCTTTCAAAACTCTTGAATCATATGTTATGCCCTCTCATCCAGCTCATACAAATGTGAATATCATATCAAAATCACAAATTTCTAATACATTTTGATAACATTCACTTTTTCCTCTTCTCCTATACCGCATTTGTTGATCAACGGGCACAACTACATGTACAAGAGTTCCATCTAATGCACATACTGCTCTGGAAAATATAGTTTTTAACTGTCTTTGTCATTCCGAGGCATGTCTTGTTGGATTAGGAATTGTTGGTATTATAATTCCTTTTGCAAAACACATCATGGCATTTAGGACCTCATGAAAAATTGATGAATGGTTTGTGTTGAGTGATGAAATCTTCCTTTAACTGCTCGAAAACGTTCATTATGTCTTATAACATGTAAAAACATAGTCATATTCTCTTCAATGTTTATTGTCCTACTAGCTTGCAACCAACTTATTTACGTAAAATGATTGCATAATAATACAAATGTCTCTTGTGCAAGATGCATCATATCATAACATTATGTAGGGTCCCCGTGTATCAAATCTTATGTATATGCATACCCGCTTGAATCGTTATCTCTTATTTTATGAATTTTTTTAGCTTTGGTCGGTTTAACGTCAACCAATACAACACATGTAAAAGAAAAACTAAAACTTCACCATTAGAAATCATACTTGACTTGTAAAAAAACAATTATATATAACATGTCAAATATAAAATAAATAACAACCAAATTATTTATAACATGTCAAATATAAAGTAAATAACAAGCAAAATATTTTTCTAATAACAAAAGTCATGCACCACCAAAAACTATCCAATAGCAAAAAGTGATGCACCAAAAACTATCCAATAACAAAAGGCATGCATATAAAAGTCATTAAACGTAACATAACAAAAGTCATACAAAAAGCCATCAAACCTAACATCCAAATGTCATGCAACAAATAACTAGTAAAAGTAATCAAATATAACATCTAAAAAGTCATCAAAGGTAACCAAACTTCATTCCTACACTTCTCGCCCACGAGTCACAAGTAGTAAGCGTAAGTTGTAACCAAACTTTCCTAACATCGATACTTTCAGCAAATATTAAAAAAGCAGTATTGTGTCTTTTATCTTCTTATATGCATCCTATTTTTGCCAATTTCTTCATACATGCATATATGTCCTTATCAAGTTGACTTCTTTGATTGTGTTCACTTCTTTGATGTTGTTCCACATGCATCCTTGCAGACTTGATGATTTCCTCCTCAACTTCTAGTGCCATTGGGTTTCTCAAATTTCCACCAACTCTTTTGTTTCCATATACTCTCTTATTTTTTTAATGTCCGGAGGATTCTTCATTTGCAACTACGTGTTGGGTTGAGTTGGGGATTTCCGTTTGGGTGCATTGAACCTCATCAAAGTCATGCTCGGTGTATTCAGGAGTAGGACGAGGGAGTGTAGAAGATGACCCCAACTATAAAAGACGGTAAAGGTTGACCCTTCAAATAATTGGGTATACATATCAGTGAAAATGAGAGGCACATATTTCAAATCTCCTACAATCTTGTTCAATTGTTTAAAATTTTGAAATTATCAAACCATTAAAAGAAAATAATAATATCTGTACTACTAGTTTTAAAATTATATGAGCATATATTATCTTCGTCTCCGTCTCCCATTGTTCGTCAATCAAATTAAATTTATTTGTTAAAGGATAATATATATTTTTAGTTTTGCTTTTGAGTTTCACCCAAACTTAATACTTTCACTTGTAGTAGTCGTAGTGGTTTTTCGTTTATTTTAGGTCAACGACTAAACCGTACTCCTTTAATAATTTTTCGGCTACAACTTCCAGGAGTTTGGTTTGAGGGCGCTACCCTCATGATCGTTACTGGTTATTTCATGTATACATGTATCAATAAAAGTTTTGTCCAAACTTTGGTCCCAAATGATTATAGATTTCCCTCGTGACATATTTGTAATATATATATATATATATATATATATATATATATATATATAATTCAACATGTATGTATAAAAACCAGCATACATAACGAAAAATCAATATGTATGTACAAAAGAACAACGTATATAACCAAAATTCAGCATGTATATAAAAAAATAGCATATGTAACCAACATTTAGCATTTATATACAAAAAAACAGTATATATAACCAAAATTCAGCATTTAT